AAAAAAAAAAAAGAAAATACATTGTGGCATTAGGAAGGTTGAGAACCACTGTTCTAAACCTTTCCCTGGGTCTCACCATTACAGCCCTGAATTTGGAGTACTTTCTGCTAAGACTTGCCTATCTTTTAAAGGGGAGTAGATCAAATAGTTAAATGGTCAGGCCCTCTCCAAAGTCCCAGCTGGGCTCTCCATATAGCTGTTGCTTCAGACAGCTCAGTTTCAAAGAGTTGCCCTTCCTGGAAGTAGTTTTAGGGGCAAGGAAACTATATCCTCATTGCCCATCTGTCTTTACTACCCTTTCCTCCAGCATGTCTTGTGGGCCAGGCCTCATTCCTTGGAGTTAGAGAGATAAATAAGATTCAGGCCTTGTCCTCCAGTACTTTGTACCCTAGTGCTGCCTCTGCTCTCATCTCTCCTCTCCTCTCCCCTCCCAGGCTCCTGGAGTCCATGATCCCTATCAAGATGGTCAACTTCCCCCAGGTGAATAGGAGGTGGCATGTCTGAACCTGTGGGAGGCACCAGGGCAGAGGGTGGGGCCACCAGGCACAGCCTGGGAATGCATAAACAGAAGAGCCATTGTACCCTCAGCCTGAATGAGTTGATATATTGACAGAAAATTGCAGGTGAACTCTATGGACCTCTCATGCTGGTCTTCACACTGGTTGCCATCCTTCTTCACGGGATGAAGACATCTGACACCATTATTGTAAGCAGGACAGAGGACTTTAAGGGGGGTGGCTAAACTAGGTTGAAAGCTGCTGAAGGACATGGTGGTAGAATGAAGCAGGAGCAACCCCTGTGGAAAGCCCTAGGTGGGGCTGAGATCAGAGGCCTCCTGGGACTAAGTAGAGCCTTCACTCCACAGCGGGAGGGCACCCTGATGGGCACAGCCATTGGCACCTGCTTCGGCTACTGGCTGGGTGTCTCGTCCTTCATTTACTTCCTCGCCTACCTTTGCAACGCCCAGATCACCATGCTCCAGATGTTGGCACTACTGGTAAGGAGCCAGGCATGGTGGTAGGCAAGAGTGATTTTGTCTTTTATATATATACTTTTTAATTCCAGGTTAATGTGAGGGTACAAACAAGTAGATCACAATGTTTGCATTTGTCAGGTAGAGTCCCTCTTGTAGTTGTGTAAGAATGATTTTAAAAAGAGAAGCTGGCTCGGCGCCTGTGGCTCAAGCGGCTAAGGCGCCAGCCACATACACCTAAGGTGGTGGGTTCAAATCCCCAGCCCGGGCCTGCCAAAGAACAATGATGGCTGCAACCAAAAAATGGCCGGGCGTTGTGGCGGGCGCCTGTAGTCCCAGCTACTTGGGAGGCTGAGGCAGGAGACTCGCTTGA